CAGGAAACTGAGGCTACAATTCACACAGACTCACCAAAACTGGACAATAGAAGATTGGAGAAACGTTGCCTGGTCTGCTGTGACATGTGGATGGTCGGGTCAGGATTTGGCATCAACAACATGAAAGCATGAATTCGTCATGCCTTGTATCAACGGTTCAAGCTGGTATTGGTGATGGTGGTGTATTTTCTTGGCACACTTTGGGTCCATTAGTACCAATTGAGCATTGTGTCAACACCACAGCCTACCTGAGTATTGTTGCTGACCATGTCCATCCCTTTATGACCACAGTGTACCCATCTTCTGATGGCTACTTCCAGCAGGATACCACACCATGTCATAAAGCGTGAATCATCTCAGACTGGTTTCTTGAACATGACAATGAGTTCACTGTACTCAAATGCCCTCCACAGTCATCAGAACTCAATCCAATAGAGCACCTTTGGGATGTGGTGGAACGGGAGATTCGCATCATGGATGTGCAGCCGACAAATCTGCAGCAACTGTATGATGCTATCATGTCAATATGGAGCAAAATCTCTGAGGAATATTTCCAGTACCTTGTTGAATCTCTGCTACGAAGGATAAGGGCCGTTCTGAAAGCAAAGGAGGTAAAGGGCGGTACTAGTAAGGTGTACCTAATAAAGTGGCCGGTGAGTGTATACAGTATATGTTTTTGTGGAAATCATAATACATTTTTTTCAGCATATTTTGTTTAAATAGAAAAGTGTAGCATCAATAATTATGTGATTTAATAAATACGCTTTAATATACATCCTGTGATTCATCCTGTCATTCATTCAGTTTCTTTTCGGCTTGGTCCCTTTAATAAACAGGGGTCGCCACAGTGGAATGAACCACCACACCAACTTATCCAGCATATGTTTTATGCGGCGGATGTCCTTCCAGCTGCAATACATGCTCCATATAGTATATAGATTAATATTTTATAATATTTATAATATATTATTATAAGTACAACAATAAATAATGTTTGTTTTATTGTCTGCAGTGATATACAAGTCAAAGTAAATTTAGAAATCACTATTTCCCTTTTTTTCTCTTGTTTTCCATATTAATGAAGGTAAAATTTCCATATAAAATTTTAATTTGGGGTTTTATAAATTCTATGTAAAATAATGACAGTTTTAGTTTTGGGTGCACTATCCCATTAAGAACTGGACACATATCGTGCATTTGCCTAAATGATTCAATAGTCTCTCTTCTAAAATGAACTGAGTTCAGAAAAACAAAAGGTTTGTTGATTCCCTCAGCGGGACAGACAGAGGTCTTACATGCCGCACTGAGCTGAGAAGGTCATTAGGGAGCGACAGTAAACATTAGACCGACAGCAGTGCATGGGAAAACTCACTGCCAAAGACAAATACCAGCAGTTTGATATCTCAGGATTACAGACGCCTGACCGCTAAAACGGATTAATTCAGTGGCAAAGAGAGCAGATGATGTCCACGAGCACCTGAGGAGATGTCCGGTGCCGTGAGAAAAGCTGAGTGTTAATACAGGCATGGCAGAGGGCCAGAGAGGGGCATCAGGGGGCCGATTTGGCAGATCCGGGCTGAGAAATAAAAGCCACTCTGTGTTTTGCTGGAGCTGCTCTGTGCTGAAGGATAGGAGTTTCTCTGCAACACTGCACAGGTACAATCCTAAACATCAACGCACTGCTGGACTAATCCACTGTTGCACTAAAAAATAAATAAATACTTGTTTAAATTTGAGACCTTTTTTTTATGTTCAATCCACTTAATCTTAATAGTTGACTTAATCGATTTGCGTTGGGACAACTGAATGAGATGTGTGGAAACCTGCATTTTTTACAGTGTGTCTAAAAGGGGTAGTTCACCAAAAATGTAAATTCTGTAACTATTTACTCCTCTTTTTTACTAATTTGAAACCTTTATGAGTTTTGTGTCTCAGTCCTAAACATAAAACAGTATAAGAAGGGTTCTGATGCGAAAACCTCCATGTGCCATGTGAAATGTTCTTCTAAAATGAGCAGTTGTTCTCCGGCTCCTTTGCGTGTCACTTCACTTTTATGGCAAGAATAGGTTCTTGGCATTGCCTTTAAAGTAAACAAACTAACCATAGGATTTTGAGATAAATTATCATTTTAGAAGAACATTTCAGAGGGCGCTTGGAGGTTTTTGCATCTGAACTCTTCATATTATGGTTGTATCAACTATGCATTATAATTTTCTTGCAAAATATGCATTTATACTAATTAATGTGAATAGATGGCTTCATTAAAAGCATGTAAAGTAGCCTGAACTCGATTAACAGCCTCAGAGTTCACAAT